AAGGAGAAGGAGAAGGAGAAGGAGAAGGAGAAGGAGAAGGAGAAGGAGAAGGAGAAGGAGAAGCCTTCGGGTATGGCTTCGGGTGTAATAGCGAAAAAAGCTCTTTAAGGGCGAAAGAGTTTCAGCTCTGAAGTCGTCTGTGAAGTGGTATGATGGACGAATGGTCACTTCGTGTTCACACGAAACAAGCGAGCAATTGTCGTGGACTTTGTCAGCCTAAAGGCTGTATTATAGCCAAGCGGAAAAACAATCCTCCTCTTTCGGCATCTCTTCTTCTTGCCCTTTCCTACGAAATGAAAATCGCCACAAATCAATGATCCACGATGGATCTACCAAATAAATACTCATCAAGATCACCTCATTTCCCCCCGACAGTCATTCCAGGCTCGTCAAGAGCCGAGCATGCATTCTCGAAACGTGAATGGGTCAACCGAAAGTGATGGGAGGCCAAATTTGCGTAGGGTTGCCAGATCAAATTTTAGATTGAGCAAAACAGGGTTGACCAGAACGTTTGCCGGACATGGAACGGCGTTCATTCTATTTCATTTCAGATTACCAATGAGTGCTAGTAAAATTTTACCACAATACAAAGAGTAGGTCTCATGTTTTTTGGATGCCTTAAGCCCTTGCTTGCCAAAAGATATACACAACTCAGTTTTAGCTACCAACTAGATTAAACAAAATAGATACGAAGAGAAACTTGGTTTCAATGAATCTCCTGAGATCACATCGTTAGGGGGACCTTCATTTTGTAGAAAAATACGAATGTGAAATACGTTGAATGTGAGGAACGGTGGTAGAAAGTTGAGTAGTAATTGTACATGCAGAGAGAGGGTGTTAAGCTGCCGTCCAATTTGTCTGCTCAGCGATGGTTCCAACTTCACTCGCACTCGTCCAACATGTTAGAGCAAGCTCATCAACCAAACCAGATATTTCAGATTACGCAACCACAGTCATGCCTTTCCGTGTAGGGTTAAACGTTAATGACCCTTGACTGAGAGGTTAGGACAAGTGGTTTCGTCACTTGACTTACATGCTTACAAGCTCATATCTCATCATCTCAACAATACTCTTTTACGGACCAACGCAGTCTCGGTCAAGGTTTTCTTTTCGGTCATTAGGCCTTGATGATCAGAGCCTAACTTTAACCTTTTGATCACTCTGATTTAAGATCGGTATTGCGTATAGACACTAACACACACAAACACACATACACTCGAGTAAAAGTAGCAGGACA